GCTGGCTGGGGAATTCTGGGAGTTGAAGTCCACCCCTCTTAAAGTGGCCAAGGTTGAGAAAAACCGGCCTAGGCTGCAGCTGTCCCTCCTGTCCCCCAAGGTCATTCCCACCTACCAGCTGGCCTCCTTTCCACCCTGTTGAGTCGATGCCTCTGGGGCTAATAGTCCTGCTGGGACCCCGATAGAGCGGCTGGGACCCCACAGCTTTGTGCGAATATGCAAAGACTCTCTCTCTCTCAGTCTAAGCACAAAAGGTTTCTGAGGATGCACAGAGGGCTGTTCTTCCTGTGATGGATGGTCTCCTTTTCTCAAACACCAAACATCGGAAACCCAACACCAAACCGCAAAGGCCACCACCCAACGTACAGTTTTATCAGAGTGGCAATACGTCGCTCTTAAGCCCCAAAATGGTGGTTCTAGTGGAGATATTTGTGTAGTTCTGAATCAGCAGTCTGCGAAGACGGCGTAGGAAAGAAAAATGCCATTTCAGTTCTCAGACCTCTTGCAACTCCCATCTTCAATTTTCTCCTTTTATGACTTCAGTCTTCACACGATCTTCTGTTTCGTCTTGGGCTCGGTATTGCCAAATCCAAATTTTAAAACTCAGCCAGTAGTCTTTTGAACAATCCATGTTAACTGGAAACCTTACATGGACTTTTTGTTGAAAAAGGAAAAGATCGAATGGATGATTCGGGGTTTAAAAAAGGAGGATGAGGTTGGGGAAAGATTAAGATGGTACACGTAATCCCCGGGTTTAGAATGCCCATTTAAGGACGACCCATAGTTAAGAACAGAGCCTATTGTATCAAAATACAAGCTAAATACACAATGATTTGCGTTAAATACACAAAGATTCAAGTTAAATACACAATGGTTCGAGTTCATGACACAATACTATTTATACAGTATTATACAATAATACAGTTCCGGCTTACATACAAACTCGACATAAGGACAGATCTTGGGAACGGACCTTGTTCTTAAACTGGGGACTACAGTAAGAAGGGCAGAAGGCATAATTGGACGGTTTTTTCTTTGTTTTCTTTCTTTCCTCTCCTTTTTCTTCTATTTCTTTTTTTTGTTCGCTTTGCGTGCTTTTATTGCATTGAAAAATTCTAATAAAAATATATTTAAAAAATGAACAGTCCATGTTCAATAGGATCAAACTGTCGTCTGTGACAAAGTTGGGAGGGGAGAATAGGGAAATACTAAATATTTCGGAAGGGGACTTGCTGTTGCTCATGTCTTCTGGAGTCATACCAGAAGTAGGAAAAGACAGCTCAGAGAAGCTGAAGATTTACATGCTCTAGATCAGTGTTCCTCAACCGTAGCAATTTTAAGATATGTGGACTTCAACTCCCAGCATTCCCCAGCCAGCGATGCTGGGAGTTGAAGTCCACATATCTTAAAATTGCTACGGTTGAGGAACACTGATCTAGATAATTCCTTCTTTTCTGTATTAGTGCTGTTAAAAGCCCAGTTCCCTGGATTTCTCTCCAGGAGAGAATTTGCACATTGCGTTCTATCAATATCCTAGCTTTAAACATCTTGGGAATCAGCCACAATTGTCTAGATCCATGCAAGAAACTCAACTGAAAAGAAACCCATGCTGGCTTGTGTGAACTCAGGTACTCTATGTGAGCTTCTAATATTGAGAAATACGATTCCGTGAAGAAAACGCACAGCTGTTGTTCCAGCTGCTGCAGGGACAATTACAGTCCATGTATTTATTTTATACGGATTTATATTTCAAGTTTGGTCCCCGCCCATCTCACCAGGAAATGACTCTGGGCGGTTTATGGTAAAAGCAAAAAATAAATATTAATGAAAATACAATAAAAATGCAATAAAAAACATATTCCTGCTTTTGTGCTCTGCTGCTTGTTTACACACCTCCGGGGAGGAGAGTCCACCATCTTCTGAGGCTGTTTATCCCACTGAAGCATCTGCAAATCTCTCCACGGCGCATGATTTCTGCCCCCCCCGGCCCTGCAGTGCCCAGGCTGCCCGCTTCTGGATCTGCTCCTCTTTGCCAGTGCCCTTCCTCAAAGCCAAGGCCCCAAAGAAGGGCTGATGGCGGGACAACCCAAAAGAGGGGGGCCGTCCTGACTTCCAGTCTATCCCGGAGAATTCCTGTCCGTTTGGGGATTGACACAGGGGTCATTTGTCACAGAACCTGGTCCATCCCTTCCCCTACGTGTTTTTTCCCAGTTACATTCTGGTGCAAAAGAGAGAGGAGGAAAGGTGAAGTTTTCTTCAGTTTCCCATGCTGAGAAATATTATATCAAAGGAATGATTTGATGCCATTAGATAGAACAAACTTCTTCCTCTTCTTCCTCCTCCTCCTCCACTACTACTACTACTACTACTTCTTCTTCTTCTTCTTCTTCTTCTTCTTCTTCTTCTTCTTCTTCTTCTTCTTC